GTTAAGCAAAATAATGTGTGTTTAAAAAGTTCTTCCTCAATTTCACAGCTTCTACTGTAATACACATTTATAAATACAAAACGATTTTCTATTATAAGCATGTAAATTTTCTGTTCATACTAGACTATAAAGAAAAGTTTTTCAGACTAAGGATATGATCAGGGGACCTTAGACCCTTAAAATTTAAAAGTACCGATATATGGACAAAAAAATCTTATTACACTACACAGTATACTACAAAGAATTTGGAGTTATATTACAAAATACCTTTTCTACCAAATCATCTGCACATTGTATTGATGATAAGACTAGAGTATATAATTTTGAGCTGTTCAATCTTATGTGTACAATTAAATGGCAATATTAAATTTGAAGTTATGTGTTCCAAAATAGTTAACATTCTTCTGGGATATTAAAAGGAAGAAACTATGTTGGAAGTTGAGGTTTTACTTGAAACACTTTACACTTAAGATCTCTGAAAAGCATAGCTTAACTTAATTGTCAACTGTTTAGCAATGGCTAATCTCACATCATAGGTGAATAATAACACCACAGGTTATTATTCATAGTCAGTGTTAAAACTGTAAAAGCATTTGGCTCAAACCCACAAATGTTACCTAGATTCTTCATTTGATTGCTTCAACACTGATGAACTATAATGTTAAATAATAGTTGCTTGCAGTTATTTTCTAATTTGAGCATGATGAACATAGAAATGCCACTGTTGTTCAGCCACCACAATTACGTTTTATTAAATTATCTTCTCTATTGTTATACCTAGTATAAGTGATTTCCTCATAACATGCTTTGAAAACAAAACACTCAGAAATTTACAAAATTTTGCTAATGATTGTTTAATAACATCATCTTGCTCTTGAATACTGAAATAGTTTCCTGCCAGTTCTGTTGGCTTTTACATAATGACTTTAACCATTTATATTTGTATTACTTTAAATTTAATGTGATCACCAGTCTATAGTTGTCATACAAATTGATATACAAAACTGACTGTTGTTGATAATTTTCTATTTCCTTTCTGTTCAAAGTCATTGAAATACTCCGTAAACTGCCATCGAGGTTAACTAAACAATAAAATTTATGAACGAAAATCACAAAGCAACACTAATAATTATGGTATCAATAGAACAGGTACATGGAGTAGAAAATAGCTTAGGAATATAATGCTATTCATATAGTTTAATGTTAATTTATATAAAATGTCTTCAACAATATCTGAATAAGTTTACTGAACTCTTGCATTGACTGATCTGAGATTTCGCTATCAAGAGTTTTAAATAATCATTGATTCCCAGTGAAGATTTAATAAAATTTATTGGCAGTGTTCAGCTATTATTCCACACATCTCTTGTAAAAAGTAAATGACTGCTCATGTGTTCTCATTGCAATACATCCTAATTTAGTGCCACAAACTTCTAAACATTGACTTGTGGTCTATCCATGACTCCTTGGAATTTATTTCACTTTTAGAAGAATGTGACCATATGCAATCACCATGCTTACCCATATCCTGGAAATTAGTATAGTGCCACTAAAGAGATGTTTTGAAAGCACTCAGGAGACAAGATTCGCCTGTTTACCTTCTTAGAATGAAAGATTGTATCTCAAAGACAGACATCTCTGCTATCGATGAACATACAGATGACAACAGAATTCAAAATTTCAGATATAATTAAATTTTATCGTTGTATCTAATTAAGGAATCTTTACGTCTTTCAGTTCTATCATCAAATGTTTGAGAAAATAGAATTTTATCAAAAAAGCACCCAAGTTTCATGAAATGTGCTGATGAAATTGCTCTGTGAGCATGAAGTTAAATTGTATGCTTTTGCTTATTTGGCTATGATTTCAAAAGAAATTCCAAATCGACATCTGACATTGCAGTTAATTAATATTAAACAGCCTTATAATTTTAAACACTTTATAAAATAAAATTATTACCATATTGTTTAAAATCATTAGGTTTGAAAATGATGTATATACTACTTTTGGCATCCATGTTAAAATAATTGATATTTTTACTTGAAAAAAGTAGATTAGTTGAGCCTAGTATTAAAAAATTGAAAGACATGTTGATTTAAATAAATGCCACCATTTCCTTGTATATAGCTTTTAATCCCTAGTAAATCACCAGTATACTTGACAAAAAGAACCAACATAATTCAAACTTTAAGTTTGAATGTTAATCATTTATATTTAATGCCTATGAATTAATAGGCACTTTGGTTCCAGCCAATTTGGATGGATACTAGATTAAGAAGAAAATTATAATGCCACTTGTAACTACACAGAGGTGTATTACTGCATGAATTTTTGTGCTTCACTTTTGAGGGAGGTTCTCAGAAACCAGGAGGAAAATATGACCTCAGCCATGAAGCAATCCATAGTTGCCATTAAACCTCATCCTATTATTTGACTTTTCCTCTCTGCAACAGTCTGCATTCAAAATCTCAATTTTGACATCTTAGGGGTTTCTACATTTGCCTGTATCCAAATTTGTATTCTATAAACAATTCTGATACTTTCCGTTAAGCTTCGGGGTGTATGGATTTTGCACATGCTAAAGCTTTAAGATCCAGAAAGAACTCTATTAATGCTATAATTTCCAGTCCTCAAAATATGTTCTAGGATCATGTGGTGGTGGTGGTGCTATTGTGAAATTACAGAACACACCCATTCTTACTCCTAAGAAAGAGTTTAATTAAAACCAATTATTTCCCTTCTGCTTTATAACAGTCAACTTTGAAGCTATTTTGAAAGATGTTGAAAATAGTCCTGTTTTCCCTAACAGCCTTGCTTATCTAGAGATGGTGAACTTTGGACAATGCATTTTACGTTACCCAAAATCAGCTGAAATGGCATATTTAAAAATATATTGACAAACACACATATTTTATTTAAATTATTTTCTTTCCACTCAAATTTTAGTATTATGAAAAAGTAAATTTATAAAAATATCCAGCATAGTTTAGTAAGTAATGAGGAATAAGTATAACTAATGATTTGATAATACTTATTTAAAGCCATTTCAGAATAGACTTAAACTAGTACCTTAAAATGTTATAATTGTATTGTAAGGAATGATGGAGATAACATTCAAAAGGTCTTTATGCTCTAACTTTCAACAAATACATAAAGTATATGTATAACACGAAATACTAGCTTTTGTTATTACTTTATTTTCTTATATAAAAGTCACTTTCATTTGCTATAACATTCATTCTTCATTTCAGTTTATGCTACTGGGAACAGATCTAACAATAAAATCAATTATCACCTTATTTTCTAGACATAGTACTTCAGAGTGTATGGATCCACCAAAAAAAAAAAAAAAAAAAAAAAAAAAGAATCTGAAAGTTTTTCAAGTTCCTTTATACAGGGCTATAAAGGAGTAATAAAATTATATATATTTGAAGAGGACCATATAATAACTGAAAATGTAGGGCTCCTCTTCAGTGTTTCCACTCTTTTAAACTTTGAAAAAGGATCTCTGGCATTGACATGTCAACAGAAAATTCCAGAGTAAAACAACAAAGCATTTTATAATGCAGTAAAATATATGTGATAGAGAATTTTGAACTGCTTACATATGACCTAATAAGGCAAATATCCTCTGAACTTTAGCAATCATTAGATATCTTGCTATAGATATTGTAAGTCAAATGCATTTAGACATATTAATGCAATCTACATATAATCACTTGAAAATACAAAAAGATTCATATTAAAAATGTAAAGTTGTTAACACTGAAACATTTTATGTGTTTTAGTATTATCTAAATATAATGGCAACTTTGAGGAAGTCGTAAACTTTTAAACAATGAAAAAAACTATTATAATTCATAAGACCAGTTTAATGGAGAACTTACTTATTAGATAAAAATCTGTGGATGGTAAAAAGCATCAATAAACAGCTTACTAAATCTTAGATAGCAGAGACAATACTGAAGCTTTTGTTCTTAACCTTAAAATGGTCAGTATTATAAATTTAATGAATATTATTTAAAAACAACCAACATCTAGACTTCTACAAAAAGGTGATAGATAACTTAAAGATGAAGGATTTGGGAAGAAAAAATGTCAATGATGATTCAGGATTATATCCTGATTAAAGTAAAATGTATTATTATTTATCTTTGTCCAAAATGTATTTTATATTTTTTTTATAAATTTTATATATTTTATTGCCATCCAAACTAATATTTTATAGTGAAGGTTCTAAATGAAGAAAATTTCAAAACTTCTAATGTAACACTTCCCCAGGTTTTGTTACCATATAAAGTGGACAAGTGAAAAATGAGGTATACTGATGAGACCTGATAGGCTAGGGTCAGATGGAAGGGGATGAGGACCTCCCCTATCAGTGGACTTGAAGAAGGGTATGGGAGGAGATGAGGGAGGGAGTTTGGGATTGGGAAGGAATGAGAGAGGGGGCTACAGCTGGGATACAAAGCGAATAAACTGAAATTAATATAAAAAGTAAAAATAATAAAAAAGAAATATGAGGTATTATGAGAAATACACTAATTAAATTCTAATTGCTAAGTTGAAAAGTAAATTCCCACCCTTTATAAATTACATGTTTATGATCCAATTTAAAGTAATTCTGTGAACTATCCACTAGCTTCTTCTAGAAGTGTATGTAATTATAACTTATAAACGTAAGATTATAACATAAAAAAATAAACCTCTTAATTTCTTTCTTCTCCATATTTTGGTATGGAATAACTTGTGAAATTTTAGAATTATGTTTTAGTTTTTAAAGTTAAATTAGTGTTTTCATTTGGGTTTTAGTTATTCTCTCAGATTTCATCACAATTAAGCCTATAAGGATAAGCGGTGAAGAGATAATTTCACAAACAAATTTTCAAAAGCATACAAGAGTAATTCATATGCTGCTGAGATGAGGCACAAAAAGAAGCATTACTGAGATAATCTATGGCTAAAATGATGGTGTATGACTTATGATTAAGCTTCATTACCTGCAGAGCAAGGGGCTTCCATCTCATATTTTTCAGTAAAGCTGGTGCTGAGGTAAGCATGCTCTGAGGTCGCTTTTTCAAAGTTAAGATAACACCACTCGGGTCCTCTCGTAGTGCATTCACCAAATTTTTCAACTGCCACCCCACCTGGTAACCAGCAAAATCATTACAATAAAATTGAGGTACAGTACTCGAAGATTTAATGTTCTCCCCCTTTAATAAGATCAGTTAAAAAAGAGAAATCACACAATTGGTGTATCATCCTACCTATTTTCAGAAGATATCTATTCAAGAATGAAGTTTTATATTTGAATTGATTAATCATATTATTGCACTCGAGTCCATATAATTATAAGACAACATAATGGACATTTACCATATCAAAGCAGAGACTAAAATTTATCTTGCCATTCAAATAATTTGGAATATAAAAAAAAATTATACCATTAATACTGCTTAGATGGTAGGTCTGGGTCCAAGCTCTGTTTACAAGTACAATTTCAAAGTTCACATGCCAGAAAACAAAGAGTTGGTAATTCCCTGAGCTAACAAACCACACCACATGCTTTCTCATCACCATCTTTTAGAGATATGTGGTTACAAATGTCTTTAGACTGACATTGTGCGACCAGTAGCAGGTATTGACGAAGGAAACATTCTGATGTAAAGACAGCAGCATCGGTGAAATAAACCTTTTATCCTGTTATACATCTATTGAAAATGTGTTCCACATAACCCTAGAAGCTTAATATATTTTGTACTAAACTTAGTAAAGCATTTTATTAAATATCAGTTCACAACAATTAAGTCAAATAATAAATGATTTGAAAACTCATATTAAATCATTCCACTAACCATCTTTAAAAATTGTTAAACATAGAAATTTTGTTTGCTTTTAAAATGGATTAGTGATGTAGTATCAGGTAATTAAGGTCCAGAACTGGGTGGTTAAAACTGATAGTTTTATGGAAACATTAAAAATCAATTATTGTATTGTTCGTTTAAAAAATTTCATGTTATGTATTCTTTTTATCTGAAGTCTAATGGAGCCTTATACAAATATTCTGGGTCAAAATTTAACTTGGATTGTAAAATCAATTTAGCCAGTGTTCTAAATAGTGAAGTAGTTACTTCTCAGTCAGTGAAAGTAAAGAGAACAAATGTCTTTTCTGTACTCTTCATCATCTTTTTGCCTAGAAGATATTACTCAAGGTGAGAATAAACAATTCCACCAAATGAAGAAGCCATCTTAAGAGTCTATTAAGAAGTAATCTGTATAGTAGGCTCCCATCCTGTTCCCTCTCTTCCACCACTTCTGGTGTCTATCCTGTTTGTCATTCTGAATGAGATTTAAGCATCCTCCCTAGGGTCTTCCTTAGTGTTTAGCTTCTTTAGGTCTGTAGATTTTATTATGGCTATCCTATATTATATGGCTAATCTCCATTTATAAGTGAGTGTATACCTGTCTTTCTCTTTCTGGGTTACCTCACTCAGGATGATCTTTTCTAGTATAGAGGGTCCTTTAATAGGCTCCACCCAACAGGGCATAGAAGCAGATGAGATTCACAGCCAAACTTTGGGCAAAGGGTAGGGTTCTTATCGAAGAAGCGGGAGGTGAACAGAAGGACATGGATGGGACAGGAGATCCACTAGGAGACCAACAGAGCCAAAAAATCTGAACTCAGAGGGTCCTACAGAGACTGATGCACTAACCAATGACCACACACGGAGAGGACCTAGACCCCCTGCTCTGATGTAGCTGACTGGCAGCTCAGTCTCCATGTAGGTTCTTGAGTAAGGGGAGCAGGGGCTGCCTCTGTCATGAACTTAGTTGCCTGCTCTTTGATCACTTATCCTGGCTATTCGGCCTTATCAGGCCACAGAGGAAGAGGATCCAGGCAGACCTGATGAGACTTGATAAACTATGGGAGGATAGCAGAGGAGGAGGAGTCCTCTTTCAGTGGACTAGGGGAAGGGGATATCAGGGAAGAGGGAGGGAGGGTGTGACTGGGAGGAGTTGAGTGAGGAGGCTTCAATCGGGATATATAATGAAGAAATTGTGAAAAAAAAAAAGAAGTAATCTTGAATGTATCCATTGTAGTTTAATGACAAAGTTTTGGAATATCTATTGAACATTCTCTTACTGATAAATTCAACCACAGATGAATTGAGTAGAGATAAGAAGCCAAGACAAAAAACAGCAAGGTGCTATGATACTCAAAATCATGATTATCTTGGCTATGAATCAAAATGATCACTATGATACTTGGCTACCATAAATAAGAGGATGCTACTTTTGAAAAAGAATATCAGTACAGATCAACTTTATAGAACTGGTGCAATGTTTTCTGTTTAATATAAGAAAGGATTGTTACATATCTTACACCCTTCCTGACTCCTCTTTCTGACTCCTCTGATAGCTAAGTAATGTCCTGATAGCCATTTGTACAAACTAAGAAGTAACATCAGTGAGAATCAGGGAATTCATATTCTTGCCCCAAAATGAAACCTAACACTGAATTACAAATTTAAAGGAATGCAAGTTCATACAAAATTTATAAACAATCTGTCAATAATAACCATACCTAAGTTATTAAATTAGTAATTAAAACAAGCAGTAGAGAATTGAATTTTCAACAATTAACTGCATATTTATAATATCACCATAAATAATTTAATGCATTTTATTTACTTATTTATTTTTGATGTAGGGTCTTGCTTTGTAGTTCTGGATGGCCTTACACTTGTGAACTTTTGATAATCTTCTTGCCTCTGCCTCCCACATAGTTGAATTATAAATATATATGAACAAACTGGGTTTAGTTGAAGATTTTTAAAGTTACATGTTTCCTTGTGAAATGTTCAGTTCAATTTAATTTGTCCTCTGTTATGGTTTCTTTTTAATTTTAATTATTTTTATTAATTACAATTTATTCATTTTGTATCCCAGATGTAGCCCCATCCCTCGTCCCCTCTCATTTCCACCCTTCCTCCTCCTTCTCCTCCCATGCCTTTCCCCCAGTCCACTGATAGGTGGGTAATCCTCCCCTTCCCTCTGACCCTAGCCTATCAGATCTCATCAGGACTGGCTGCATTGTCTTCCTCTGTGGCCCAATAAAGCTTCTCTCCCCTCAGAGGGAGGTGATCAAAGAGCCAGCCACTGAGTTCATGCCAGAGACAGTCCCTGTTCTGCTTACTAAGAAACCCACTTCACAGGTGCCTACCACAGAGGACCTCTGTAAAACAATACCTAGCAGGGCATTAAAGCAGATGCTGAAACTCATAGCCAAACTTTTTTGGGCAGAGTGCAGGGAATCTTATGAAAGAAAGGGGAGATGAAAGACCTGGAGGGGGACAGGAGCTCCACAAGGAGAGCAACAGAACCAATAAATCTGGGCACAGGGGTCTCTTCTGAGACTGTTATACTTTCTATATACCCTTTTGGGGGTAAATAATTAACCATAGAGTTACTTGTCCACAAGAAAGTGAAATTGTTTCTGGCAACGAAGTTAACTTGAATATACTTTAATTTTATCCCTGAATGTTATGTAATAGTAGAATATTTGGGTATATAATTTGACTATACTTCAATCTGCCTACTATCATTTGACATGTCACCAATGAGTTCAACAAAAGCAAACAAATTTTTATCAAGAACAACATGTAGTAAATATGTTTGGGTCTCAAATTTTATTTTCACTACTACAAAGAAATGACAGGGCAAACATGCAGCACATTAGAATTAAATCAACACTGTAAATTATGTAAGTGTTCACTAAGAGGGTATATAAAATTTTGTGTGGATCAAAGTAAGTCTCACAGTGGCAAAAAACTTATTCTTAAAAAAGGTATAGATATGGAAGGCAGAATGAGATGGAATATTATTAATGATGACTGACTTAAGGACAGTAATGTACCTCTTTATACTTTTATTTCTCTACATTTTATCAATAAGCATTTGAAATTTTGGAAACAACAAAATACAAGGTTTTAATCTACAAATAGTATTGTAACTAGAATATTTTGAATTTTATGAACTAATCAGAAGAGCTTACAATGGATGAAAAGTGTCTAATCAAAGCACAGAATTAGAAAGGCAACTATACTAAAACATCAATAGAAATGGGAAATGAATTCTTTCCTGAGCATTACATTTATCGATAAATAAAAGCAAACACACACACACATATATAAATATTAAGTAGATGTGTTCAATAAGAGTTACACTGATTTTTTTTTTAAATTCCATGACTGGTTTTCAATAGACATAGCATTTAAGAATTAGGTTCACTTCTCCTAACAATTCTGCAAATTCTCAAATGGGAATGAAGCCTGAAGTGTAGTTTACACCCTACCACTAACCTTTTCTGTTAGAAAAAAAAGTAGGTTTTGGCTATATTAATTCTCCTTTCATACTCATATACAGATGAATTTTCACTGGATGTGATGACTTTATCATTTGAACGTCTCTTTCCTTGCTCTTCTTTTGAACTTCTTAATTTAGATAATTTCAAATTATTCCCTATCTGCAGTTCCTATTGTTTTATGCTATCATATTTAACACTCGTCTTCACTGTTTTTGCTGATGTATTCTTACAACTTCAGGCAAACTGATTCCCAGATATGGTTCTGTGGTATCACATTATTACAGTCATCTTATGAGGTATAAAGAATTCCTGAAATAGATGTATTACCACTTACCTTATTGAGATACTTATAGTTGGCAGATAATAGGAAAACATGGATAAAAGGTGTGATGAAATGAGGCATATATAGATATATGTATTACAGCTCTAAGAATGTTTGTGTCCTCAATGCTAAGAGCTAAATATAAGTATACAAATGTCAAAGTAGATAAAATACACAAATTCAAGTTAATCATGTTTTGAAGATTAATTTTCCACTTTCTCATTTATGTTTCTGGCTAGCTTTAAAATAGCAAGTGTGACAGACTTAAATGAAAGGAACCATGTAAATACTTAATAGCAATATGGGAAAAATCATGACATTCTTTCCACTGGCTTCTGAGTTTTTATGTAGAAAGAAACAGAGGGAACTTGAAGAACTGAGGACATCTTTATGGTTACTAATATGAACTATGAGCCACTAATATAGAAAGGAATCAGAGTATAAAATTTTAAAAAACT